TTTTCAACATTCTGATTTACATGTTTCTCTTTGTTCCTTTCAGATTGTAGGAGGCATGGATGTACATAAAAAGATGGTTGTGGACGTATAGCAAAATAGACAACATCTCTAACAGTAGGGCTCCTTTAGGATGAAATATGTCGAAAAAAAAACTTTTTACAATCATAAAGGAAGTTTGTACATTTTAATTCAGTGGTCTGTTGTAAAGTATTTCTTGCAGCCCGTTTTTCTACCGCATCTCCAGAGTAACAAGTGATCTTACTGTCTGAGACTGATATAAATAATGACAGACTTTGATACACATGAAAGATATTGTGACATCATCGCCAGCATAACTAATAGGAGAGCACTTCATATTTATCTACACATTAAACTTTGAATGTTAGCAGGGAGGATAGTAAGCTTTACAAACGGATTGAGCTAGCTTATGTGTCCTCTGTCATTTTTCTCTTCTGTGTTTTTTTTTTCCCCCGACCTGCAAGTAAATTCTTAGCATATTTTGAAGGGATTGTTTCTTATAGCAGTGGTTGTTCCTCAACCAGAGGTTTCCATGATGTAAGTTTTCGTCCTTGTTCTAATGTTGCAGTCTGTCACATTTCATGGCTATGAAAGATGAAAGTCTCCAGAAATAGATTGTGTCTTACACAGAAGTAGAGTAGAACAATAACTTATTTATAATGATCGAGATCTCACTCATTTTCCCATTAGTATACTTACTGGTCTGCCTAACTACTTCACACTATTATGAATATTACCAATGTTCCACATCTCAACCCACCGATATTCCATGCATCAATTACCAATTACGGATACATTGTTTTCAGCACTGTGCTGTAAATTTTATTATCAGCAGTGCCTTGCATCCATGTTTGCACATCTTACTGTAGCAAATTATGGAACATGATCTTATTATCAATGGCTTTGCAAACATTCAATTGAATTCTGCTCTAAGCAAAGAATTCCTCTGATAATTTGATGGTTGTTGCATTCATTTGGATAATAACCAGCTAATCAAATATTCTCAGTTTTGCTGCTCAGTCTAGAAAAAGAGAATGGTATATCATTATTTACAGGAGCACAATTTAAAAAAAAGTGAAAATAAAGGAAAAACATGCCATGTGCATTAATTTATCTCCTGCGAAGGACTACTAAAAGGAAAAAATACATTGAGGCTCAACAGTTGTGAAGTGTGTGTGGGGGGGGGGGGGNTCAGTTGTGAAGTGGGGGGGGGGGGCAGTTCATCTGCAGAAACACAAAATATGTCAGTTATGTGTGGAATATCGGTTGGTTGTACGGAAAAGAAATTCAGAATTTTTAGCTTGCAATAACATCTCATCAGGTTTTATTCAGGATGTGCTTGGGGATATTTCACAATGTACAGTTTGAGATGTGCTGTATTGTCTTGCTCTCTGCAGATGGACTTAATGTGTTTAGTGTTAAATTTCATTCTTTAGTATTTCTCTCAGTATAACTTTGCATAGGTAGTTTTCTAAATCACAAATTAAAAGATCTAGCTTTGCTTCATGTTCAATATAAAATAGTTTTAACTTGGAAAAGTGGCAAAAAAATTTTTTCAATTTATAAAATGTCTTCTAATTGTTTTGATGCTTATTGAGAGAAAACGCTTCCTGATTGTATCTTCATACTTTGGACTGATACTGTATTGGGAGCTATAATGACAGGTTTAACTGTCATTTTATTGATGTACAATCTGGTATTATTCTTTTTTTTCCATTTGAAAAAATACAACCAAAGGCTGAAAAAACGGGTATTAGGTTACTGGCTGTTTTGAGTTCTGCCTAAAGCGTCATATTTCAAGGTATTCCATTCCCATGCTAGTACTAAAAACTGATAGCATTTAACAATAGTTTTCGTGTTAAGAAGTTTCTCTCCTTTGCCAAAATGCTCAACATTACAGTTTCATTATTTAAAGTGAAAAGTGAACTGATGTCTTGCAGCAATTTACTTTGTCAGACTATTTTGCATTGTAATTATACTATTTTATAGTATATTGGTATCACTTAATGATTTTTATGGCATACACCAAAGGTGTGAATATGAACAGTGGATTAGCTTTCAAACATTTTTCTTCAGTCATTGAAAATATGCGTTAATTAATTTGTTATAAGTCTGCATTGTTCTTTTTTTTTTTTTTTTCAAATTTTAATTGTTGTAAATGTTGTTGTCTCGGTAAGTTCTGTGGTTTTGCAGTCGAGTGATGTTAACACATTGATATACTTTTCACTTGGTGACATTATGAACGACAGGGTTTGTGCTTACTGGCGTGTTGTACCTCCAGAGGCTCTTGGCACTTGTTAATACACACTGCAAGATGATACTGTTAAAAGGAATTTAGAAATTATGCTGAGCACATAACTAGCTGATTGCCTTTGCTGAACTCCCAGGAGGTTTAAGTAACCAATTCAATTGTCGAGAAAGACTGGGATATTCAAGTAAAACAGGTGCTCCCTGAAACAGCATTCATCGTGCAAGTATTCCACAGGGCCAGACATCAGTGACAAACTAACCAAAGAAATCTGGCACTGAGATACATATACCTGCGTAACACACTATGAACACCATTGGGAATGTTGGATTGTAGGGAATATTGAGTTGGAGGCTGTAGATTGAAGGGCCTATTTTTTTTCTCCAAGTACTGGATAAGTTGCACAACTTGTCATTTCACTGTAATGCTTTTGCGGGCTTCTACAGTGATATGTGTACATTTTTAAATATTTGCTACATTTCGAAGTTACATTTTTCATGGAATAAAAAAAAATTGTGAAAATTGAATCAGCAGAGTATTTTTTTTTTTACATTTCTAGTTTGCAAACTGTTGGTTAATTGAACATACATAACTAAAAAAAGTACTTTCTTTTAATGATTTAAAGGCAGCACCATTTGCTGTACAATTTCCTGACAGATGAAAAAATTGAATGTGATCTAATTGCTTTGCAGGAGCACTTACAACAAATGTGTTTTAAATAGATCAACTAACGCATCCATGGCGACCATGGAGAGCGTGGCTTGGCACTGAGCCATGTATCGAGTTATCTTGTTTGTTCTTTCCAAACAGTTCAAATAACACTGATATAACATTTGAAGGAGGTAAATTCAGTGAGCTCTAAAATTTTTGAGTTAACAACCTGAAGACTTCATCCATTGATTATAGATTATGTAATCCTCTGTGAGGTAATTATTTATTTTTCTTTGATGTGATGCGCCTCTCATGGATGGGGCTTTAATTTTCTTAATATGCATTTTGATTTTAAATGTCTTGTGTACATAAAGTATGCCACACAAGGGCATGTTTTAGTATTTGTTTGGCAATTACATTGTGTAATCTCCATCAGTTTACAACAAGCTTTACTAGGATAGGCGAGTAAATTATTGCGACTTAAGTATCTTTGGAAATGTATTAAGTGATACTGTATGCATTTTTAAGCAACCACCTAAGAACTTTGAAGAATGGCATGTACTCTGAATTTAAACTGTCCTACTAGAGGATTTCAAGCCCATCAGTAGCATTCTAATCACATCAGTCGAAGTTTCCTGAGGCCCTACATTGTCAGAGAAATGCTTGCATGTCTTTGGTCCCCTCCCAATTAAAACAATTTGGATAATGACTACCTGTGTCCCTTCACATGCCACTTGTATGGAGAGGGGGAGCAGGTAGTTCCCTCTATTGTTACCTAAATGCCTCATCAGGTGTGCCTTGCTGCGCATTGAGAAAAGTTCCACTAGTTGTAAGCTTGGAATCAAAATAGAGTGAAATGGCCTTCCAGTTAACAATGCTTCCCTTTTGTATTTAGATTGTTATTTTGATGTGTTGGTGTTTATTCAGCTATGACACATGACCATTTGTAAGGATGGATGTGGACCAGCCCATTGAAAGGGGGATGATCTATACGCCTTTATTCAGGTGCAAATACTCTATGCTAATCTGCGCATACCAGAACCTAAAGAATGCGAGAAATTGAGTTAGCTCTTGCTTGACCTGCTGTGGGGCATGTCTTAGTGAGCAGAGTGCTGCGCTGACAGGAACATGGTGACAGTATACTAAGGACTAAGAAGATGCATATGCCCACTTTTCACTGATATTTCAAGGATGATAATGAAACAAACCATGAGGATTACTTATTTTTGCTTTCTACTGTTACTGGTTGGAGTCCGGGCCCAGGGTGGTGGTGCCGCCTGCCCAAATTTAGGAGGAGTTGTAGCAGGTTGCATCATTGGCACTGCGGTTCTATGCGCTGTCATAGCTGTAGTGGTATTTTTACTATGGAGAAGGAGACTTCATTCTGGTAAGCTAATGCAGGTTGTGTTGTCATGAAATTTTTATGAGGTGTTTGGAAATATTGATCTTTGGCATTGATATTTGTGTAGGAGTTTTTTTTTTATTTTATATATAATGTAAATTCATATATAAGAGGGCAGCAGAAAATGTGTATATCTCTAGCTGTAGAATATTTGGTTCCCGTTGACTGCCTTCATCTTTTATTCAGTTTGATATGTTCTCTTTTACACTGATATAATTGAACTTGCGCTAGCTGTCACTCTTTAAACTTGGCGTTAATAACTTAAACCTGTGTGGAATGCTATACCTATTGTTTTGTTTTGGATTAAATCACCTGAGCAGAGTAAACTGCTACCAAGCATGTAATGGGTTTATGCTGCAGAAACCTCTTACTTTATAAATTGGTGGCAGGTATAGTTTTCCCTTAAAGCTTCACACTTTTTACGTGAGCTATATAATTGCAATTGAAAATCGCAAGACCTATAAGCACATTTTGACCAAGAGGGTCTTTCTGTAGATTGTCTCTTCTGTAGATTGTAGAAAATTTTAAAAAAGAAAAATGAACAATCATTCAATTATACCTTGTACATTTATTTTATCCAACTTTTTTTTTCATTATCATTATCATAGATGGAGGAAAGTCCAAAGTTGGAGAAGATCATGCTTATGAGAATGCAGCATATCAAAATGATGAGAGTGTTCTGGAAAAGAAAGGAGATGTTGAAGAAGGTATACTTATCATCAAATATTTAATACTTACTAAGCACGTAGAAGCTTTTTCTTTTTCTTTTTTTTTTTTTTTTTTTTTGGAATGTGACACAACAGCATTTGAAAAGCAGGTAAGTTCACTCAAAGAAACTGAACTATACAATGGAATGCCTTTTGATTCTCACCATCCTGAAACAAGACCTTGTTAACTGATGACATGCGGGCCATTTAGTAGACAGAGTAACGGCTGGCTGTTCACAGTCTGAGACTTTCTAACGCTTAAGCATGCATGGTGACCATCTCTGTCAAGTTAAATTCTATGCAGCTAGTCACCGGAGTAGGGTTGGGATTGTTACAGGCTGTGTCATAGACAGGTCAACTGTCCTCCATCATGCAACCTGAGAATAATCTGGCATACCCATGGCTTAAATAGTGTTCCCTCTGCTAGACCTGCACAGGTGTGTTGAAAAGATACAGCAGCTGTCCTGAGCTTATTTTGTCCAAAAAAACTTATCCGTGATTTGGTATATTTTAATGTGAAAATTTGCAAGCTAAAATCTCGGCCTGTTGACCCATTCTTTTGTGATCCTTATAGATGAATCAAGGGACCATATCATATCATATCATCCAAGTCTGTACAAACGTCTGTTGCCTGTATTAAGTAGATAATGATTTGATAATGATGATATTGCCTTTTCGGTTGGTATGCAGAGACAATGATTCTTCTGTAGTGATATGACAAAAAGAGCTTGAATAATACATAACATATATACACATAAGATTATAATATCATATATTCACCTTGGATGAGCCAACACCCTGTATGGTAGATTGGCATGATTATAGAAGGCTCTTTTTTATCAGTTCATCAAGGTCCACGAAGTGGGTATTTAGACATAAGGTCTCATAAAGGTGAGAATTAGACAGGTATTATTGTACCCTTGATTTCCTTCCATTAGCTGATTACAGGGTTTTCCATTGCCTCACAGCACTCTGGTGTCTATTATATATATTTATATATATGTATAATGATGAAGTATGTTCTGTAGACAGGATGGAAGTCCTGTTTCATATTTATATACCTACATGCCAGTGTATGTCAGGAGTTGGTGTACTGTGACTGTTACTAGGACACTGTGTACATTCTCCTTTTCATGTTTCAGTGGATCGTACTGTTTTTCTTTTCATATAGCGAATGCACAATCATCATTAAAGATGCATTAACAGGCAGAGTGTACTTAAGTGATTCTTAACTAAGAATTTCATCTCAAACTTTATGCTACTTGTGGTTAAATAATTATATGTTTATTCATTCAAATATTTATTATCATCACATTCACATCAAACACATGCATTTATGTGAAGCGTAGATAGATTTCAAACAGATACCTATCTCTGAAAATGATAGTTTTTTTCACTGTTAAAGTAGAGGAATTGTCTGTATTTTTATCACTGCTTTTCATTCGTATTTCATACTTATCAATCAAATCTTTGTACGTGTCCCTTTGCGACCCTGTAGTTTAAGGCTTAGGCTTACAAGAGGCCAAAGAGTGACATTATATCATTTGGTGCTTTTGTCAAATTACCACAAATGAAGTGTGTGGTGGCCCTCCTGCTGCTTTATAAATTGTGGAATATTTGGAATATTTAGCACAATAACTTTTTGTACACTTAGGCACTGGTAATTGAAGGTACAATGTCTGTATTTATACTTAGTATGAGCATTACCATGCAATGTTTCTGTGGTGCGCATTAGTATTTAATAGCAAGACATGGTTCGTAATGGGTATTAAACTAAAAGCGTTCACAGTTCTCAGACTACACAGTAGGTAAAACCATATGCTTTGTCAACAGGGCTATTGTGTGGAATGGGACACCTGCTTTACTCTAAATTATTATCTGAAATTACTGGAAACCTGGGGTGGAGAAGAAAGCCATATATTATGATGCTGCTAAATAGGGGCAGCAGATTTTTTTAACGTTTTGAACTTGTTACTTTTTTGCTGGATTGTTGTGTTGACTGAGGTAATGGCCTGAACCCTATTTAGTATTATAGATCTTGATAACACACTCACAAAAAGAAAAATGGAAATTATAGGAAAACAGCTGTGTAGTTTAGTATAATGATATAAAGCATTACAGACTATGTACCGAATTTTTATTAACCTTGTCAAAAACTTTTGTCCACACTTCTGAAAATGAGTTGACAACATTTCTGTAACTGTCCTTAGAAGAGCAAAATTTGAAGATAAAAACTTTGTTTAAAATCAAGAAACTGTGAACTTGTTTTGTAAGTGGATATATAAGACAAAATTGATTGTAAGTTGTTACAGTACAGAATGTCACGTATTTGACTTTGTCTCACATTTGTTCCAACATTTATTGACCAAAAGAGTATCAAGTACACAAACTGCAGATCAATACCACTATTGAATGTGCAGGAGGATGTTAAAATAGATTTTATGTCTTAAATAATACAGATTTATTTCATTATTTGACAAGTCCAAAAAAAATTTAGAATGAAATTATTTATCCCCCAAACTCTAAAATTTTATTATGGAGGGAAATTTGCACATGTTGTCTCAAATAACAGAATAATGTGTTTACATCCCTTAATGAAGTCACCTAGTATATAGAAAATCAATACATTCTTATTGATTCAGCTATGACAGCAAATAATATAAAGCAAGATACACAAGATTCTTAATATGCTCAGTAGTTTTGTATGCACTTTTTCGACCAATATTGAACCTTGACCATAACTGTTTTTAAAATGTAATCCATATCTACGTGCCTAAGTCTGTTGATTTTATCAGCTTTGACGTATGCTAGCTGGTCTGTGTGTTTTTTTTAAAAGTTTACACAATATCATAAACTGCTTGTCAAATTCTTCTGAAACCCCCTAAAGCAATGATTGTAAAATTGTAATTCCAACCAGGTGTATTATATTCTTGGCAAAAAGACATTCAGCCATAAAATAATTGTTTTCTGCTAACAGCAATAAAATTATGCTTTTTGATCCAAGTAGTGCCCATGTCAAGTACCATTCTGTAATAGTGGCCATGAATTACTTTAAAAATTAGCAGGACTGTTAATTTTTAAAAGCATAATACAGGAAATTCTGAAATGCAAATTTTATTGTCTTAAATCACCCTGTTTTAGTTGAAGCTAGTCTGTGCTTAAATCCCAAGGGCATGTTATGTTATTTTTGAATAATGAAATGAGAACCCATGCTCAAACTTTACAGTGTCGATGGGAAGTGAAACTGCAAGGAGAGTATGTAATTGTTCACTTGGCAGAAATTACGTGAACAAAAAAGTGGTGTAAAAAGATTTATTAACTATGTATACTGAGATTGGATTTGTAGGAATGATGGTTGGTAATAATTAGAAAAAGTTAAAGGTGCACAGGAAATTAGAAGAAATGAGTGTCAGCATTATGTGTGAGATTATAATTTATACACAGTTTTTGCAGCTTTAGCATTCTATTAATGCTATTCACAATTTCCATTTTCCAAAATATAAAAAGTGTGTAAAAGTAACTTTTCTCTCTATTTCAGCTTTACCTGTTGGATATGTGATGTGTGCAGAGTATACTAGCCCCAACAAAAACAAACCTAAAGTAAGTTAATAATTTTTTACCAAAAAAAAAGAAAGCTTAGCTTTACAGCTAATAAAGTTAATGAACATTCTTTGGCAAATGTAATCACCTGCTGTATGTCTATTCCTAAGAAAAATTATTTATAATTTAGTGTGTATGTGAAAATGGCTCTTTTGAACTGTCTCATTTGATAGTTAATATTGCATTTTCTCATAGAAACGCTACATTTTCACCACACAAAAATGCCAATTTAGACCTTAAAATGTATTTAGTTAATCTAGGAAATGAAAGTGAATGTTTTTGCCATTGATTTCATTCCAGATTCTTTCCCAAAGTACCTTACTGCATGTAATATTTAGTGATGTAATGTAGAAATTAATGTAGACTCATTTTTCAAAGAAGCAAAAAAAACATCTTGAATGTCTACCATTTGATAGAGGTGTATACATTTTCTCTTTTGAAGTTTGCTATTTAGACTGGAAGGATCAGGTGTTAGTCTTAAGCACATATGGCTTGAATTTTAATATGTTGCAGTTGTTTTCCATAACATTCAGATCTGTTCTTTTTGTGTACAGCATTATGTTGTTAAATAAAAGGAAATGACAGAAAACAAATGGACACTTATGTGACTATATTTGCTGTTTCAGGCAGCTCCAATTTTCTCTTTGAAAAGAGAGCAGTCCCAGCCAAAGTCTTGGTCATCGCTTCCTAGAAATCCTTTTACTAGTCTTGACGAGAGTTATAGAAAAGGTTCAAGGGCATCACTAGATGACAATATATTCAATGGAGTAAGTTGTGTTAAAAAACCGAGCCATCACATTGGTGATCAAGTGATCTCTCTCTCTCTCTCTCTCTCTCTCTCTCTCTCTCTGTAAGTTGTTATGAGAACAAAATTAAAATAAACATTCTTTGAAATGAACAGTTAAAACAGTTATAATGAAAATAAAGCTTTTCTCTAAAAGTAAATTTATGTGGACTGCTCAGTGTACAGGAAGAGACATCTGTACTTATTCACATGGTAACTCCCTTGTCTTTGATATCTTCAGTCTAAGGTCACACATGCACCTCATAAAGGACTATTATACTTACTAGTATATTACTTGTTATCATAGTATAGTAAATCACAAGTTCCAACTTGGAAGATAGGTCGTGTCTGCTCTCTTGCCGTCCTTGTGCCCACATAACCCCCATGTCTAGTCCATGGCATTTTGATATTTTTTATTCAGTTGATTTTTTTTCTTTTTATGGACTTTGAATGTGGCCAACATGATATTATTTGTCCATTAAAAAACCCAATGTCCCCGAAAATTTAAGGGGCACTGCATGATAAAACAGAGAGGGATTTTTTTTTATCAAAGAGGCAATAAAACAGGAGCATTTGGGCAATAAACTTCCTTTGGTAAGTCCCATAAAATTTCAAGACAAGCATCAAAGTTTTTCTTTTCTTTAGTAACATGATAATGTGCTTCATTGCCTCATTGAGCACATCTCTTTGCCAAGTTAACATGATATAAGGTTTGAACTCTGATATCTCCGAGTGGGTTTCCTGTCAAAAATTCAGGCAAAGAAAACCCAGTTCATACTCTTTCTTTTCTTCTTCATAAATGTTGGACGCATTACACGTGAACTGAAACCTGAAACTAATCATAGTGTAAAACTGGTTATCTTAGAATGCCTAAACCTGTGATAAACCACAAGTATGTCAACTTTTCAATATGCCCCCTTTTGTATGAAGTGCTTAAACATTCCAGAGACTTGTCATCAAATCATATCCCATCTATGTGACTGCCACTGTGTTGTAGATACAAGTCCGTATAATAAATAACTTAAACAACATTAATTTTGAAAGGACCAAAAAATATTAACAAAAGAGAGAAAAAAAATTAGTACAAATAAATTCAATTTCCCTATGATTCAGTCAATACCATTTTATTTGTCTATCAGTTATATCCATCAGTGCTTTGGGATCATTTACCCCCGCATTAGTTACACTTTTTTTTATCATATACAGGTGTGCAAACCCTGATATCTTAACTTGATAATTACAAGCCATGGACAGAGCCAGTGTGCACTGACGCGCAATACTTTTCCAGTGCTTTTGTTGGCATGACAGGTCACCATTTGGGAGCGGCACTATGCTGCACCATATACTAGTCTCCTTGTTCTGTGCACTTGTTCATTCAACCTGTGGTGACTGTGCATTGCTCTCTCTCTCTCTCACACACACACATTTGGGACATTAAGTATGGGATCGTCCAGAAGCCATTTGACTTATCATGTCACCTTAACAGTACCCCAAAGCATGAGAAAGCCTATAATGCTTACTCTTCATGTTATTTACTAAGATCTGCTGTAAGTTAATAAAATTCTCATGTGGACCTTGCAAAAAAATTATTTTAAGATTACTCGCACACAAACCTCTCATTTATTTACCTGAATATTGCAATTTCCACTCAGGAGTTGCATTCCATTACATATGATGGATCACTCTAGGCTTTATGCTGAGCCCTACCGGTCAGGGAAATATGTAATCAACCCTGGGCAAGTGTCACTTTACAAGGTGTCTCTCATTATGTGCCATGGGCCACTGTCATTAAAATAGATGAATATAGGTAACACCATTGAATATTGACTGAGATTGCATTACACATCTCTATGAAGTTCTTTATGGAGGAAATGGGACTTTAAAAAGTATTCAGCCCCATGGAAAGAAAAATACTTCGCATGCCATTTGTGGCCTTGAGACATAATTTCTCATTTTGTATGATTGATTCACCAATTGAAACTTGATTTCTTAATTTTAATTTGTAATGTGAGTGATGGTCTGTTTATTATCCCTTGCATACTTGATATAATTCTTAGTTGTTTAAGACAAGTATCCCTTAAAAGACAAAGTCCTTTTTTTCTGAAATTCACAGCTTTTTGCAAAGTCATTTTCCCATGCACCACCTTTAAACCTGATGACAAGAGTATTTTAAATATTCAGCCTTAGTAAGAACAAGTTCATGTATATACTTGCATGCATGCATGCAGGGCCTCTCTTGAGTGGTTTTTCAACTCTGCTGCTTATTGAAAAAATGGTTTCAAGAGAAACCTGAAGAAGTTGCAACAATTTATACAGGATGAAGCTGTATTGTGGGCAGCTGAGGTGTGTTTTTAGAAAATTATCAAAGTTTTTCTTTTAAAAAAAGTTTAGGTATCCAAAACAGAAAATTTTAGATGGTTGGTTTTACTTTCTTTCATATTTCTCATTTCTTCTTGCAGCACATGTCATAAAATAAGGCTTTGATAAGTTGTCCAAGTGCTTCTCTCTTCTCATGAAAGGCATTGCATATCCACACCACCCAAGATCAAACAAATGCCCCTTCCCTCCTCTTGTAACATGCCCTTTCATCTAGAAGCACAGTATAAAGTTCCTTTCCACAACAGTCTAAAATTTTCTATCTCCTTCTACTGTTGACCCAGATGGGAGCTCATTATCTCGGTTAATATAATCAGGGGACATACCTGTTGTGCATGACATTGTGGCAGTGCCTTGTACAAAGAAGGAAGGGTGCACATGATATCAGGCATTTTATCTCCACCATCACTCTAAACTTGACTGCATTGTGAAAATGGTGCCCACGGGAGCATGGCTTAACAGGACAATGATGCAGCTTTTGGGATGAGAAATGGAAGCAAATTTGGCAGAAGAGGTTCTGATTGAACCGGAAATTGTCTATTTTGGTTGCTTTGTACCATTGATATTGTCCAAAGAAATGGAGGCAGAGTGGTTCCAACAGCTCTCACATTATGGAGCTTTTCATTGGAGCCTCATGGTCATCATGTAAATTGCAAAGTTAATGTGCTTTTCAAATCAAACCTATTTCCTAGAGCCTGTAACAATAAATTAAGATTCTTTTGTTAAAAAACACCCTGCCCTAAAATAAAGTAAACAAATAAAGGTAGCATTAATAAGAAAAAAACAATTACAAAATTATAAAACTCTGTCTAGTCTCTTTTCTGCTCAAATAGCATTGAAAAGTCTTGGATTTCTCATTCTTATTGCCTCTAAGTAAGCCAAATGAATGTGGATTGGAGATTCACATATTTCATATCCCAAAGCTTAATTTTATCCCATATAAAAAGATGCATTTTGAAAAAAAAAAGGAAAAGATATAGGATATAATTTTTATTTTCAGGAGACGGAGGTGGTGAGTGTATCCCTGCAGAGCAAGGACATCATTGGGCTTGGGTTCAACGTTGCTGGCAGCATGCGTGATGGCATTTTCATCAGTCAGGTGCACAACAGAGGCCCTGCCAGTGAATCAGGAAAAATTAAAGTTGGTAAGTGTGTGACAGACAGACAGACAGACAGAAAGACAGACAGATAGACTGTATGGCGTATTTTACAGACAGCTATTCACCGTTTTTCTACTAATATGGTTTGTTTGTGATATTAATTTTTTCACACTATATGCATAGTTCCATTCTTGTTTTCATCTGTTACCTACACTCTGAAGTCAAATAAGGTCAACTTATTGCATTTATTCACAATGCAGGTATTTTCATATGGAGATGAATTTGTCTAGATTCCAAACAGCTTAAAAGTGTTGTCAGGAAGTAAGCCGATCCTCAAAATAGACTAAGGCCCCATTCAAATAGACACCACCGATCTACACAGATCGATCCAACTCTGCAGGGACTCTCACTGAGTACAATTAGCATAACTAAATGACAAGCTTCCTTCTTGTGTTAATTAAAATATACACCAAAGATGCTAATTTTACAAGTATGTTGGAAACCAGAAGAGGTGTGTTAGTCAGTCTAGCTGATTGTACTCAGTTAGATTCCTTGGATCGATCTATGTAGACCAATGATTTCCATGGGGATGGGGTCTAATAGCCCATGTTAACATTTAATGTAATACTGTAACAATGTATTTAAACATATAATGCACATAATGTATGGTCCTGTCGAGATAGTTCCCATTAATGACTTTTAAGTAGAAAAATTCCTTTATTTAGTTCAAATTATATTAATAATGTACAGGCAATGCATGTATTTAAACTAAAACATATGAAAGAAAGTTTGGAAATGATACACATTATTGCAATAAATAGGAAATTACTTTTCAATTTTGAATTGTGCACAGTCCATGTAATTCTACTTATCAAAACCCACATAAGAAATTGAACTCTTTGTGGCAGGGCAAATTAGCATGGGCATTATGAACAAGCACATGCTGGGGTCAGCTATACATAAAGTAACCACATAACCCCTCCTTCTCCACATTGTAAATCTGCATTCCTTCAAAGGCCATCATGGAAGGAAGCTCTTCAGGTGTGAGTTTCCTCTTAGGGCTTTTCTACCTTCTTTGGTAGGATGGTATGCAAACTTCAAGTACTTCTGTTCAACATATTAAGTGTATCAATGAGGCATTTCCTTATCACTTAAAGATTTCCAAGTGAAAATTGTCAAAAAGGAATTTTTTCAGTTTGATAGCAGGTGTTGAATGAGGATCCCAGATCATGGGAAGTAAAATGAACAATTTACAAATTACAGTAAATAAAACTAAATTCATATCTCATTGAAAATGCAGGAAATACAAGTTGAAAATAACAAATCGCCAAGCATAATGACTTCGTTTCACAAATAACGAAGAATAAAAAGCTGCATTCACAAGTCACAGGATTGGGATTATTCACTGAACACACTAAGTAATATGAACGCTTCAGGCATCTCGGGGAAATGAAAGTTGCCTTCATAGGTAACGAAAATACCCCATGGGACCTTTTTAAATGTTGAAGAAAGAGAATTCTTGATAATTCTATGAAAAAACCTTAGACAGCAAAATTCATTCCTAAGATATTTTGTGAAAGAATAAGATATTTAAATCCCTCCTGGCAACATCAAATAACAATTATCTTTTTTTGTCATTCTTTCTGAAGAAAATTGCAACATGATTTTGCAACATAAATTTATGTTAAAAAAGGAAAAGGATCAATTTTCAAACCATTCATCATTTTGACAGTTTCCCTCACTTGGAAGATTTCTGAAAAATGTCAAAAAGTCGCATGCTGAGTCCTTTATTTCTAAAAGAGAGCATTACATGTTTGTCACGTATTGTCTCAAAAGTGATAGGATTTTGGGGACAGGTTGGCATAATGAGGGATGAAAGAACTGTTGATGTTCTACACACAAAATTAATGTGCAGTGAGTTTTACATGCTTAAAATCAGAAGTGGTTGAATTGGCATTTTTACAGAATGTAGTATTTTTTTTATTCTCTACAGTATTTCTTTCAATTTTTCTCTCCTTTTCTTAAACCTGTTGTAGAAAGAAAGCTTCATTGTATGGGGTATTTAATTTCTGAAAGGTACCACAGAAGTATAAAGTTATAGTTGTCCTGTCAAGTAAAACATCTTACCGTGAAACTATTTTTGTGAAAGAAAGTGTACATTTGATCATAATACTTGACTTGTAACCAAATCTTGCGAAAGAAATTATCGCACAAAATAATACCTGTATATATTACATATTTGAATTTTAGTTGCTGTTGGACCAAAGCAAATACCTTTAAGGATCATAGGGGTTTTATTTGTAACATTATTACAAGATGTAACATGACCCTGAAAAGTGCTTCTTGTCCAGTCATATCTAAGCTTGGCTTTCTGTTGCACTCTTTAGTATTATTTGGTGTGAAAATAAGGCGAGCCTTTGATATAGACACAATGAAAATAGACAAGAATCTGTGGAATGTATTACTATTCAGATGACAAAAGTTGAAGAGGTTTGCACACAATGAAAAACATGTTTATCAACCTTCAACTGGACTGCTGTTTTGTTTGTTTACCTGATATACTTCCCTTTCATTAAAACAGGTGTGTCTATAACGTTTACCTCAGCTACCACTTGCTCAAAACAGGAAAAATAATAGAAATAACCAGATAAAGAATCTTAAGTTGCTTGACTAATTGTTCGTCTTAAATAAGAATGTGCTTATATACTCTTGTTTAATCACTTAATATCTTACAGTAATGTCTAACAGAAATTAGAAATCTTTAATCCCCCTATGATGGAATATTGACGAAAGTGTGGTAACATTATAAATATTGATCATATAACTCGTGGAGTTTACACTGCTGCTCTGTACAGTCTTTCAAATTTGACCTATAGTGAACATTAAAGCAGATGAAAAGTTTAGCTTGGAAGTATCAGCCTTGCCATATCCCCCCTCCAAAAAATAAATAAATAAATAAATAAATAAATAAATAAAGTAAAAAAGAGGAATACAGTAATTACTCGATCTTTTCAATGGAGGAAAATTGTGAATTTTACAGGTACTGAACTATAACAGGCAGGCCCGTAGCCAGCAATTTCAAAAGGGGGGTTCTTTTTTTGAAAAAGTGGACCTTTTCCCATAAAAACGGCATGTACCTAGATCAAATTTTACCCAGAGTGGACCTTTCCCAGCAAAAGGGGCGGTTCTTTCGAACCCCCGAACCCCCCCCCCGGCTACGGGCCTGACAGGCTACACTTTAATTCTATTCTATGCAGTAAAAGAGCCACAAATGCTATATTTGTGATTATAAAATTATGTATCTGCAAATTTGATAATTTGTGCCCATAGTACCCCGAGTAAGTACCATATAAGTGTAGTAGTATTTTCCCACACATCTCATGAAAAAAGTGGAGTACACTGAAGGTTGTCCACCTGTTTGATTTATGTCCGTCCATTTGTCTGTCCATCTGTCCATTGGAGGATGAAATCTGAACCACCCACCACTCCTACTGTTTACAGTCATTTTGTCCTTCATGCTTGAAGACCTTCAGATATAGTTTTGGTATCAAACCAATCAAACCATGATCTTTGAGAAAATTGTTTGTCCTTCTGCCTATATGACAAATGTGTGAACATGATGTGTTATAAACCTGACCAAAATAAGGTGTACATGTGCTCAGCTTACTTTGTATGTGGTGTTGCCATAGAAATTTTGCTTTGCTTGTTTTCCATTTTTTTTACAGACACAGTTTTTCTCTTGTGGGGGGGATAGGCATGGGAGATGAGAATCAGTTTTAGTTTCTGTAGGTCAGATTACATTTTACATCATAATCCTATTAAGAAAAAGCTGCCAAGTCTTGTTTTTGGGCGTGTTGAAGCCTACAGTTTAAATTTGCTCATTTGTATAAAGATAAATGGCTGTGATAAAAAACATGAAAAAAGGGAAGCCCTATAAAGTGTAATGTAACAGCAGTTTTGACATTTTGAAAGTATGGCATGCATATCTACATTTAGGTGAGATTAACCCTGACATGTAATGTTAAGCTGGGTAGGAAAGAATGGGATGTCTTGTCACATACAGAAGAATGAAAGGTCTTTTTTTTCTGTTAAGATGATAACAGCTATTTAATTGAAACCTACTTTTAAAATCCAGTTACTTGACAATAATAATTTACACCCCATGGCCCCACTTTTTTGTCATATTTCACTGCCCTTTTCATGTCAAACATTGGTTGAATGTACACAGCTATAATTTACGCAATTAGAAAACGTGTTACTTACAAGAAAAACTGCAGGCACAAATATACAAAGTGCCATGTTGCTGTTATTATTTGTTGTGTTTCAATTTCTTTTGAAATTTTCTTCCATTTTGCTATTTTTAATATATAAATTGATAATCGAAGAAACATTTTTGTCTGGAAAAATATAATGCCAAGATTGATATATTGAGGATTGCAATGAAAAATATATTTTATTTTTTAAATCTTTTTTTAGGTGACCGCATAGTCAGTGTGACCATCTCCTTTGAGAACATGGTGTATGAGGATGCACTAACCATCCTCAGTTATGCCTCGCCATACCCAGTCCAAGTCCAGCTTCAGAAATCCAAGCCAACAAAATCAGGGGCATTACAAGTGAGGAGAACCCCCTCCCAGAGCAGCTTGCCCAACCTGCACCACCCACTGTACAGAAGCCAGTCCCTTGACGATTTGAGTCGGATTATGAAGGACAGTCAGCCACTGAAGACACGTAGAGCTTTCAGTGAAAATCGGAAAGCTAATCAGGCACTCAAACAGGGATCATTAAAATCGGGTCGTGAGATGACATGGGAAACGAATATGAACAGGCCAGTGCTAGAACTTGATGAAGATTCAAAGTGGGAAAATGTGAGAGAACCCAATATATTCGGTGATGAGCAAGTCATTGATTTAACAGATGGGAAGAGTGAAATATTCAAAGAAAAACATAAATTTGTTGAACATGACAAAACTGAAGTACAAGCTACTATTGAAATGACAGAATTACAGAAAGAATCTGCATACAACCTGGAGGCAGTTCATCCAGTGGACAACAAAGTAGACGCTGGTGACAAAAGTTTTGAGGAAGTTGACATTGATAGTCCAGAAAGCACACAAGAGGAACTAACTTCTCCGTACAGTCAGTTAACGGAACAAGATAGGAATGAGCTTATTCGTCTGAGTTACGAAGATTCTGCCCCTCCAGTTGTAGAGAATTCATCGTATCATCAGCAACCTGAAGTAACCCCTGATGAGGACCAACCAGTTGTGAAGTCACAGTTGGTGGTTAGGCTGTCATCGCCAAAGAAACAGGATGATAGTGGAGTCAAGGAGCGAAAGTCATCAACATCTTCCAGTAGCTCTTCAGAAAAAGAAGAAGAGAGAGAAGAAGATTCAGAAAGCAAAAGAGAAGATGGAGCAGGAGGTGAAAGTAGTAATGAAGAGGAGGAAGAACAGTCAGAGAGTTCTGATGCTCCACCGGCAAAACTATCCAGGTATGCCGACATATATAATCTTGCAGAGATTGATGACATGGACAAGACGGAAATGATCCTTCATGAAGAAGCAAGCAGCATGACAACAGAAAGTCAACAGGGCTCAATTTCATCTGCTGAACCCAGTCGCTCTCAATCCATAACAGACATAGAAGCCGAAGTACAGGCCGAAATGCAGACACCCATCCCACTGGATGAGGAAGATGCCAATACTGATGACCCTGCCCCAGGAACCATTGAAGAAGACTGTAAAGAAAACATTGAAGCAACAATCCCTGACAAAGACTCTGTGCATAACTGCTCAATTAAACTCATGTCTGATGAGGAAAAGGTGCAAGCATTCCTGACAAATGAAAATCCAGATCCTAAATTGTTATTCAATGAGAGTTTAGTCAATGACTCCCCTCCAAATGACCATCACAGCCAGTCCTCAGACTCTGATAATACTCCCACCCCCGAAACTGCCCAGGAATTTAACTATGAGATTAATGGGGAAGAGAGTGAGGAGCACTCTGACCAAAGCGGACGTAGTAGTCCAAAATTTCTTATCGATGAAGATGAGGTGATTCATGCGGTGCCTGCTCAGGCAATTCTGGATGAATCGGAGGAAGAAGCCGCAGACAGTGCAGTCAGTGAAGGTGCTTTTGTCATTGACGTCAGTGAGCAGGATTTTACGGACAATAACACTGGCCTCACTGTGCCCGAGACGGCATTCACCATTGACCAAAGTACCTCAGATCAACAGGACACTAGTAGTAGTTCATCGTCCTCATCCGAGGATGAGGGCACTTGTTCTCCAAACACCAGTCAGTTTACAATAGTTTTGAATGGTGATGAACAGAGTAGTAGTTATGGCACGTCTCCCGAAGCATCACCAACCAAACCGAGCTTTATCATTGACAATGACACTCAGACTCAAGAACAACTTATGAACATGAGGAATAATGAGGAGAATCCATTTGGGAACAATATTACTATGGTTGCCACACAGCAGTATAGTCCAGATGCTTTCACTATAACACTCAACACTGATGAGTGAAAATGATATTATTGTCATGTTTTAAAGAATGAGACTATGGCTTTCTTATGTTGTGCATATTATGAATATCATTTAAACCATTCTTATGTCTTATTATCATTAATTTTGATAGATGTCAGTTTCGTGGTAACTATTTAAATTGAAAACATTTTATTGTCACTATTTTATAAGATAGAATGTCAATTGTAGCCTTCATAGTTGTAGTTTCTAACAATTTCTGACAGAGAAATTTTAATGCATTTATTTGATTAATATTGTATGTACATGTAAATATATTTTAAGACTTACAAGCATTAATCTATGTTAAAGCAGTCAAATGACATCAAAATAAGTGTACAGCTGCTTCAGCTCACTTATCAGTTGTAAATAAAACTTAGTATTTAGTACTGTAGATGTAAATCTAATATGTTATTTATCAGTTTTATAGAAACTGTAACGTGTCCTATAGTTAGTGTTAATGGGTGTAGACTGGATATCTATCTACAATATAAAAGTAGATAAGTTATGTTTATTATCAGTTGTCCATTAGTTTATATTTTAATGGATCAGAGTATGCTAGGATAAGATCAATTATGACTTTACCATTGTGTTCCTGATATGGACATTGCATGTTGCAAACAGTATTACTTCTCACCGTGATGACCTCAGTTAGACATTAGTTACAGCTTTAAAATATAAAAAATAAAAGAAGGCAGTGATTACTCCAAGCATATATCCCCCCCCCTCAGACACTTAAAAATTTCCCCCACATTGTTGTGAAAAGTCATGAATTGAATAATTTACCTATAGTTGTATAAACAATTAACTTTTATAAATTAATATGAATATATGTCAAACATATTTAATCAAAATATGATAGTTCATTTGAAGTGGACTTGGAGTCCAATATTTGTAAAATTCCCCATCTAGTGTATATCTTTTAATGTACAAGAATTCTTGTATTTTGTAAACCATGGTTACTGACAAATAATACTACTCAGGTATAAGTAACATAATATGCAAATGCTCACAGGTGTATTATTATAAATGTTGTATATATTTTTCACATTTTCAGATGATAATGAATGTTCCAGACCTCCAGATCATAAATTCCGAGTTCACTTAGTGAGTTTGGCTAGCATATACATATCACTATTGTTTTTTCTTCAAGCAGTTCTTTTTCAAACCTCCACAATGTTGTAGTAACAATATGCAGTATATTATGATTAATAAAGCCTATGAATTAATATAAACTGAATTCTGCTGAACATTTGGCTTTTTATTTATTTATTTATTTATTTTTATTTTATTTATTTATTTTTTATTTTTTGCATGCAATATTACCTAAAATCTCTATTTAAATATCTGGTATGTGCACCCCCTTTGCATTTACTCAAAGTATACAAATTTTTACATATTTACACTTAGCGGTGGATGGCATGAGAACCTATTCTTGATACTTCACACAATGGTTTATTAATGTGTATTTATGATGTTTGCTATATTAAAGCTGATATCAGTTAAGATCTCATTACTCATTTACTCACTCATTGTTGGAATTCAAGCCACATCAAAAACTATTAAATTAAATGTAACATGAAATGTCTGTGTACAGTCAATACCATGTTAATTAAAATTTCAAGCCATTCCTCATTCTGTAACAGTCTTCAGTCAAAATATACAGAGGTATTTATTATGATACTCCTCAGTCATTCAAAAATGTTTGTTATTGAGGAAATGTCTATGCCCCGAGGGGTGTTAATAATCTTTGAGCAAAATATTTTGTAGCGGATGATCAAGACTTCTTATCAGACTACCCTCGAGCTGATCTTCTTCTTAAGGTATCATAAAATGAGGTTCTCTGAGGCATGTAACCATTAATAAATATCAAAGCATTCAATAGGTGTTCTAAATGCTAAGATATTTTGTTTTTTAATGTCCCTTTCAGATTTGCTTCTTAGCTTTCTTTTATTTCTGCAATGTAAAATAACTGTGCATACTCAGAAAACCCAAAAAACTTCATCAATCTCTTTCTATTAGATACTAAAGAAAATTAATTTTCCTTTTGTAAAAAAAAAAGTACCTTGCAACATGTTGCTAATTTTATTTAATAGCAAGATTCCAAAACAAAGGGGGCATTTTGTGACAATTAAGATGTATTCAATCATCAAAATTAAGACTTCATAACACATCTCAAGGATACATTATCTTTATTACTAAATCATGGTAGTGCAGGCCAACAGCAAAATATTCTCTCCGTCATCAAGAATGCATCAATCACGCATACTTGTGGCTAATAAATACATTTAAACAACTAGAAGGCTTCATAAAATAAGCATTTCCGCAAAACTGATGCACAATTTCTCTCAAAAGATCTACTTTGTTATTCAAATGTTGACGGATAAGTGCTATTAAGATCCAGCAAAATTGTCAAGGGAAAAACACCTAAGTACAATAATATTGGCAGGTGTATAACAAGGGATGCAGGCACAGACATTTTGTATGAACTTTTAAAAAATCAAACAGAAATGCTGGACAATTAAGCCTTCCAAGAACCCATTAATTTTCTATCATTATCGTTCATATTATCAGAATATTACACAAATAAGCTGTTGAAATTGTATATGATCAATATGCTGTCATAATGGTAAAACATGGATATGAAGGAAATGAGGGGCTATCCAAATAAATGTTAATGCAAGTACATAAAGATGATCTTAACATAAACTGAAGAATTCATTTTATTTACAATCTATATATTTAATATAACTGCAATCAATCAACCATTTTCACTTTTATTTTACGTACTAGATATAAATATAAAAACAAGTCCAGTGCACAATTGTTCCCTAAAGTAACAATAAATTAGTGATAGAATAATAATAACTGCCCTAATGATAAGTAATAATAATCATGAAGCATTCCATAAAAATTTTAAATGCTACTTACAGAATTTCTTAAATTGTCTTTTCAAATGATGAAAAAATACAGCAACAAATAAGTATTGCTGGGTTTAAAAAACTAAATAGAACTTCATACATAATAACTGCTCTTCAAAAAATTCACACTACTTCTCTAGCCATTTAAGATTGTATACAGAGATCAATCGGTAAGATCAATCAATAATTTTCTTTTCATAATAATTATCGTTCATTTATTTTTTTTCTTCTAATGAATAACAAATGAATCTTCTTCATTTTACTCAATCATTTCATAAACATCTCTTAAGCACATCTGAAAGAGTTGGTATGGCACAAGCACAAGTAGTATGGCAAATAAGACATTCATAGCCTCTACTGTCTGAAATTGATATGCTGGCTTCCTTAGTTGCATGTGATACATGGAGGTGACTGCAAGTGTTTGACATTGTGGTGTACTGGATTTGTTGGATTGTGTTAGTTGTGATATTCAGTTGCGATCTACAGAAATTTAGAAATCTCCCAAGATAGACATTTGTTGTTCTTTTGAAATAAAGGAGTAGGGAAACTGTTCTTTTGAAATAAAAGGAGCAGATAAACTGGAACTGACAAAGAAAGATGTTTGACTATTTTTCAATAAGAATGTATTTTTCAAGATTAAATGGAGTCAGCTCAGGGTGTGAAACCGAAACCACACACGCGTTGCAGTATCCAGTAAAATACAAGATATAATTTTGATGTTTAAAATAACATTAAGGTGGTATTTTGTGTCACTTTGCATCATTTTGTTCTATTTGATGTCGTTGCAGTATATAGTGACACCCCTGCCTGATACACAAACTCAGGACGTGAAAGATATGGACCAGGAAAGGCAGGCTGCCAATTCCTTTTTTGCTTTGTACTATTTATTCATATCTACTCGCCTGTTACTACGGCATCACCATGGGCGAAGAATTCCAGACCTGGAGGAACAAATATGAACTTAGTGATCAAGCGATGACAATTTTAAGTGAAGCGGGGTTCAACTTGACGCGATCCTGCAAGATGCTAACAGTCACGCTCATCCAGAAAACGTTGGGCAGCCACTTGGGCAGCTGCTGCTACTGCAGGACATGATTAAGAACAAAGACATGATTAAGAAATCAGCCAGGACAGAACAAACTGCAGACACAGTAGAGGACGCTGCCAGCAAGAGACACGTAGCAAGGGCCGGCAGCAGCAGAGGACCGAAAGCTCAGCCACCGTCCTCCTCAGAGTCGGGAAGTGATGTCACCAACATGGCGGAGCCCATAGCAATTGAGGGGGAGTTGGATTACACAAAATTGTGCCAGCTTCTGGGCACCAAGATGGCAGAGGGAGTTGCTAAGGAATCGATGCCTCCTCAAGGTAAGAGCACCTTTGATCCGTTTGATTCCCCGGGTGCTGCAACTCTGTGTGTGTTTTTAAAATGGTGTAGTACAAGTGTAAGTTGTACCAAAAGAAGAACTACACTGACATACTAGAAGAAGCAATGTTCATACAGGACAAAATGAGTAAAATATTATAGGATAAATATATTAGGATAAAAATCATTTATCAAAATATGCTTGTAAGTTTTTTGTTTTCTTTTTTTTTTTTTTTTGGCTATGTCAAAATTATGAGATAGCTATGTTGAAATTACAAGATAGTTATGTAGAAATTATGAGATACTACGTCCTAATTACAACAATTTTTTTAACACGATACCTGTCGGCTTCTGTAATTCTTCTATTTGATGTGTTATTTTGTTAATTACTTTAGGTACAAGATGAAACCTGCACTGTCCCTTGGTCAGAAGTCTGACTAAAGAAGGTCCAAGTTTGAGGAGGTCATTTTTATGTTGATCTTGGTAGGCATCCAGGCAGTGATAGACAACCTCATCTACAGCATTGGCAAGACAGGTAGGAGTGTCTTTGTAATCCTGTCTGCCTCTACGTCTAAGCTTGTCTGTTTGCCTTGGGGAATCAAGGATTTCCTTTGGGAGACAGTCCCGCTGGGGATGGGGAGGCATTGCCAAGCATGCAGAAAGACAAGGTATGGACTAAGTTCCACAGTTTAAGGATGGCACTTGACCTTACTGCCAAAATAATGGATTTCCTTGTACCATTTCGGAAGATTGCAGCAGTGGTGAGCTTACAGCCATCCAGACTTATCAGGTTTTTGTGAGATCCTCCTTTGACCAAGTATTTGAGTATACGGACGATATGGGCAGAAAAAAAATGTGTGTGGAGAGGAGTAAACAACAGACAGTGAGCAACAGGTCTTACTTTATGTGGCAGGATACATGTGTCACAAATTATCTAAAAAATGTGAAGTAAAAAGCCCTAAGTATGCTGCTGTAATTAAAACAGGTTCAGGAAAGGCAAGTCATCCTCAGATAGGGCAGCATATTTAAAGATGTCAAAAACAGTGGACTGAGATGGTTAGCATGTGACAGACATTTTGTTTTTGTTTGTGCAGTTGCTTGAAGAGGTAGTGAGGGAAATAATTTCTGAAGAAAAGACATATTCTTATCACAACCATGGGGATCTCTGTAAAGGTATAATAGAACTGGCCTTCCACAACAAAGTTTTAATGCATTATTGGGAAGAAATGACAACCAGAGAATATGACAAATTAAAAATGGACATTTTTGGAATGTTTGTAAACCTGTATGTCACTATAAGAGATCATTCATTTCGCAGACAGCTTATAGAAAATTACCAACAATCAGTGTCTGCATCAACTAAAGAAAAAGAGTTAAGAAATTCTCTCAAAAGAAAGAGTGGATATATTGTTTAGGTTTTCCACAAACAGACAGTATGTATCAGTGATTAATTAGTGTACACGATTATGGATCCAATTCTAGAAGTCGGCGTGACATCACATGATGGCTGCCGCCTTACCTCCAAATCGTAAGGTATAATTTACACATAGTGTAAATCTAACTGATAACATAATTGTGGTTTTTCATACTGTTTTCACAAAGCCTAATTGTATTTTTTTCCACTCACTTTACAGGTTAGGGGAGACCTGCTCTCATGTTGGGGCTTTGTTGTTTAAAGTGGAAGCAGCAGTGAGATTAGAAGTGACAACTGCAACATGCACAGACTGTCCCTGTGCGTGGAATGATTTTTATGTTGATTCTGTGGAAGTTGACAAGGTTTCAAACATACAGTTTTATTCAAACAAAAGCAAGGACAGGGTGAGGAAAAGGCAGAAAACCATTCCACAGGCAACCCCCCCAGGCCAAGGCAGCATTTCTTCAGTCCCTGGCATCTTTGGAGACCCCATGCATAGGACTTACTTTATTTAGACAACATAACGCAAGATATTTGTTGGACTGGGCCCTACACCAGTGCCAAAGAAACTCCCCCAGTCCTTGAGAGACTTGTACACTATTGGCAATGAACATTTGAATGGCCCTGCCTTGAAGGAAGCGTGCGAGCAAGCTAAGGTGAAGGTGGGCTTGCTGACCAACACTGAGGCCAGGTACGTGGAGGAGGTTACAAAGACTCGGTCCTCATCAGCAGCGTGGCACAAGGTCCGTGTAGGGAGAATTCAGTGGCTGGTGATGTGTTGAAGACAGACCAGAGAGTCCAGCTCCATCTCCGATTAACAAGCTCACTTCAGCTTAACAAGCTCACAACAGTGCTCCCATTAGATGGGGACGAGAACATGAAAAGGACACCCTCACCCGATATCAACAATTGTACACTGATCAAAACCACAATGATATCAGCATCAACAGCTCTGGCCTCAGATTGGACACTCAGCAGCCATGGCTTGGGGCGTTGCCAGATGCTATTGTAAAATGCACTTCTTGTTGTGGTGAAGGCACTGTAGAAGTGAAGTGCCCTTTTGCAAATATAAGAACATTTCCGTAAGAATTGCCCCCCTGATTACCTGGATGAAAACTTTTATTTGAAACAGAATCACAAATATTAGGTCCAGCTCCAGATGCTAATTTGCAATGTGAATTTTTGTGACTTTGTGGTATGGTCTCCCAAAGATTGTACTGTTTCTAGAGTCCTGAGAAGTGACCGGTTTTGTAAAGAAATGGTGACTGTCCTTACCGAGTTCTGGGAGAGGCATGTGTAGCCGGAATTGGTTAGTAGAAAGGTGGAGCTACAGGAGGTTTGCCCTGTTGTTGAGGCTGCTGCAGCAGTAAAAGCCCCAATTTACTGTGTATGTAAAACAGCATCTGAGGAGGGTGATATGGTAGGGTGTGACAGATGTGACCAGTGGTATCACCCCAAATGATTAGGGCTAAAGGGGCTGCCAAAGAGCAAGAGGTGGTTCTGTAAAAAATTGCAGGAAGAAGTAGGGCTTTTGTCAGTTTTTAAGAATTTCCAGTAATGTAGATTCCCATGCTCTATTATTTTGGTTATGTTTGCACTGCTTGGTTTATTGTATTGAACTGTTATCAGCATGGTTCTTAATGTAGAGATAAGATCTGCTCTCTGTCATGTCACATTGTATCTGTACTGCTTGTTTAATTGTATTGTCACATTTTATGGATAGCACTGAGTACTATTGCTATTGATAAACTGATATAGAATAATGTATCAACATCAACGGCTGTAAACATGAACAAAGGTGCACACAATGTGGGATTTTAAAATTTGCACCAATGAAATGTGGCAGACAAAGGAAATATACAAAATTATTCATGTTAGACCCTCCATACTCATCAAATATATATATATATACGCCAAACCTACACTGCACCCAGGGGATGCAAGCACAAGATGTGCAATCAAGCAACAAACATTGCCAACACACATGAGACAGCTTGTGCACTGGCAGCTCTACAACCTGTGTCTACAAGAGAAATTCTGGACATTTAAATAAAGGCAGGCTAGCTGCAGAGATTTTGTATAATGCAAATGGAGAAATTATATACAAAAGAGGAAGAAATGGATAGAAATTGTGTCCGTAACTGCGCTACAAGGCAGGAAAAAACTAGCTTATTCTATGATAATTAAGCATTATATGGAGATTCAGTGCTAAAAGACAAAGAAAGCCATGAGATAAACATCTATCCTAAAATATAAAACCAGATTCTGAAGTACAGAAAAAAATGGTATATTGCACTAGATTATACAGTAGTACAGATCCTTTTAAGAATAAGACACACAATGACAGTACAATGGGTACTTACAAGATGAAGAGACATGAAAGAAATGACAATTCAAAACATAGTTCCTTTAACTACTTGATACTTTGTGCATGGAGTAGTAGTAGACTTTGAATGATGATAAACAAATACTGTTTTATCATAATAGTTAAGGTTACCATTCTTTTTACTTATTAAATGGGTATGTACTGTTGGTACAGATCTTTAACAAGTGTAAAAAGACAAATGTTCATACAACAGATTGACAACAAACACCTACTTCTATATCTTTAAGAAAATTAACCATAACAAGCAGTTCTAATGCAAGTTCAAGAAAGATTGTCACTTTTAACAAAAAAAAAAAAATTAAGTGATACGTAATATATAATTTAAATAAGCTAAACACTCAATTTCTTCCACTTAAAGCTTATTGCCTTCACAGTTCTTACCAATGTCCAGGTAAATGGACAATTACATGTGCACTGGGACATTTTTTTTCCTCATAATTATAATACATCCATCTTTATGTACATAATTGTGCACCTGTCAACACCTATCCTTGCTCAACAAATGCCAATGTGAATGATGCACTGAGAAGATGCTTAGTATTTCATGAATGATAAACCTTGATGACTTCTGTGATTTCCTTCCTGCATATTGGACAGCTGTCTCTGCGATTGAGCAAAAGTCGGGCACAGTCTTGACACGTGACCATGTGATGACAGGGACAGAGCAGACAGTCTCGTGTGTGGTCCATGCAGATAGCACAATCACGATCTGTGCCTTCCATAACATACGAGGCTGGAAAGAAATCGTTTTTATGTTCAGATTTCCCCCTTTCTTTTTTTACTACTTTAAGATAAAAATGATCATATTGGAGAAAATACTATGAAAGTGAGGTTGAGAAAAATTGTAACTTGTAGTTTGCAGTTTGTGGTCTGCAGATATAATTTTGCCTCCTGTTTAAGTCTTTACTGCCTGACAACACATTCATTGTTCACAGTCAACACTTTTTCTCAATTTTATGCAAGCAAATAATTATGATAACAATGTCTGATGCAAATTTCTATGAAATATGTGTCAAATGTTGAAGAATAATGTATTCTGGAAAAAAATCTTTTTTATCATCATTCAGTTATCCATCCATCCTTTAGCTGCCTCTTCTACTTTGACAATTTTCCAATCATTCATTATATATTATTAATGTCTTGATTAATGAATTAATTAGTAAGCTCAATTCCTTACTAACTTTATCTTAGACCACATTCCCATAGGCACCAGGGAATGATCCAACGTAGATCGATCCAACTCTGCGGGGACTCTTGCTAAGTGCAATCAGCTTAACTGAATGACACTCCTCCTTTTGTTTTCATAATGTATAATCACCAGCTTTTTGTGTATTCTGCTCAAAACCAGGAGGCATGCCATTCAGTTAAGTTAATTGCACTCAATGTGAGCTGGATCAATCAAAGTAGACCGATGGTGTCTATGGGAATAGGGTCTCACTCTCTTATCATCACCCAGCCCTACCTGTGTCATCATCCTGAGGAGGGGCAAAGTTCCCCCTGTGGCCCAGAGCTGGGATGGCACTCTCAAAGAAGTAGCCAAGACCAGACTGGTTCTTGATCTGTTGAATTCGAGCTGGAAAAGCAATAGAGGTGTACTTTGAATGAAGATGTTATTACTGAATAAAAGTAATTTTCCAAAAGAGATGGTTAAAATTTGTGAATTATGTTGCAACCTATTCTATTTTGATGACATTTTCTGCCTTTGCTGAAAATTAAAAGAAAACAAAAAACATCCACTCCTAATTGACCCAAAATATATTTAACCAAAAAAATTGTGCCGAGCAAGTCTTTTCTTATAAATATTGTCTTTCTTTCATAAATTTATATATTCTTTTTATATATTCTTACCTAATTTTCTTGCTTCTCTTTGTTCTTCGGATAAAATTAGAGGCTCTCCACCAGATCTGAAGAACAATGTCTTCCCCATCTTCTCTAACAGAATTCTCACTGTAAACATAAAAACATAAAAGATTCATCACACAGGGATGAGACTGCCATTTAGTCAAAAAGTCTGAAAACATGGCATGGGGTACAGGGGGCCCTCTGCTTTGATCTCAAAAATGATATTTTTGACCCCCAAAAAATCTGCCAATAGTCAGAAAAATCTCATCGGTGATCACAATTCACACCGAAACAAACTGTCCCCACATGACTCAACTTATCTACATTCTTATTACAAAGAGCACTACCCTGCATATCTTCTCTTCCAAATACATCTTTTAACAAGGATTTCTTACTTAATACCTTTTTCTATTACTTCTGCAGAGGTATGTTTGCCAGGTGTTATTTCCACTTCTGGTATGTAGTACACAGGAAATAAAAACCTCAGTCCCAACGTTCTCTGTTGGGAAATAAAAGGTCCATTTGATTATCTCTGCCAGTATTGCAATTTTTAAAATACACAATTTTCAATCCCATGCCTCACTTTTATCTGTATGATTTTGCTTTTTATTTTTATAAAACACATTTGACCTTTATTTTCAACTAAATTATTTAATTTTTCTAAAACCCATTTGACCTGTATTTCAAATAAAGAAATGATCAACAAATGACATAAGCTTGTATGTCAAAATAATTCCAGTAATATGTGATGGTTACCTCCTTGTATGCTGTTCTCTCAACAATCTGACCCATGTCTAAATTCAGCGTGTTGGATGCAATGATAGCATTAGATGTACAACAGTGGGATACTCCTGCAAAGAAGCCATTTCAAATGAGAACAAGTTCAACAGGGAAGAATTTTTTTTACAAATCATTCATCATCTTGGAATTCTGTTCTTCAACATCAGATGGTTTTGCTTATTTTTTTAATTTAATCATTAAATCATAACCAATTAAACATTACTGATGTTACTATAGATGAATTTCTTTGTGTCAATTATGCTTAAAGGACACAAGTTCTTACTTTCAAATATATCCTGCTTAACCTTCAAATCATCCACTACTGCCTCAAAGATAAAGTCTGCATCATTAACTGTCTCTTCCAGCAGACTCATGCACAAAACTTGACCCTGTAAACGAATTATATATTTTCATCTACCCAGATACATACAATTTGACACATGATATGACAATTTTGATGATATTTCAGTACAAAAGTAATTTGTAATGATAGACTCAGACCTAATGATTGTTAGACAAATGCTAAGCGATTTTAATTATACAATCTATAAGGTGGCCACAAAAGATGATCCATTTCTGTATCTTAAATTTACCAATTCAAATTTTATGAACTCCCCATCTGACAGTGTCTATCTCAGATTAAACTATCATGCAGTTATAGTATAAAACAGATGTGTTTAAATCTAAAGCAAAAATGATTAATATTTTACAAATTTCAAATATTTAATATAATTCAAGTCACCAGAATGCAAATGTTATAATTCTAATATTTCTCAAACCATGAGGTACAAATATCCCCCTTCCCCAATATAAAAGATACACATAGAGAATTACAATAAAATTCCTGTGGCTCATTAGTCCTTCTCGTCGCAAATGTCTCTTGTCTTCTTCTATCCTTTCATAAACGCTATTTAACTGGTTAGTGTTACTGTCATACATCTTCACACGGTGCCCATGGTAAGCCATCTCACCTACGTAAATAAGGAAATGGTGTCAGAAAAGCTAGTGACACGGCTGAGAGTTGACAAAGTTAACAACAAAAATTAATTTGACAGAGTTTCTGACTAAGACATCACTTTTTAAGACACAAAAACACCTGGATAGCATTTAAAACCATGCATGACCAAGCAGTTTTAACTTGGGATGATTTTCGTGCTTTTTCCATCACTGAAAAACTTACGTTAGTACTGGTACTCAGAAAGTCACAGTTATGGTCAGAACGAAATTCATGCGTTTGCGTACATATCAGAAACCGTAGAGTGAATGGATTTCGTGCCAAGCCACGGTGCCTCACTTGCTAAAATGCTTTCAGGTTTACCCAAGTCTAAATCATATCACACAATTACAGAATTATGGTAATATTCTGTCTAACTGTATCAGGCCACTTCAGGTAACTTCCATACTCATCTATTCAAGCTTTTTAACACCATGACATCAGACAGTCGAGGGTTCGTGCTCGTTTTTTAGCAAATTATTTTATCTTTCTTTAAAAACCTACCAGCAATTTTGACTCCCATGAGCCCGCAGCCGAGTACTGCGATTTTGACCATGTCTACCGCATTAGTAATTTTCGTTAAGGTGTGTTTTCACGAACTAGAGACGTCCATGGCTAAAGTGTCACTGCTAAGCCGTAATTTATGATTATGTTTGCAAAATCTGTAACGAAGAGAAACACTGCTCATCGATACAACGTCCTTCTATTAATTGTGTTTTGTTGTCTCAACTATCGCAACGGGAGCCGTCGCGCACGTGTTAGAGTATTTCAAATGCTAAAACCTGTAAAGCTGGTCTTACAGAAATTAGCAGAATTTTTAAAAAATCAAAAACGTGTTGCACTGTATAAAGGACATAATCTTAAGCAAAACTGACCTTTGTGGCGAACCGTCAATAATGAAAATACTTAAAAAACGAGTCCTTATCATGTACCTCTCCCACCTGAGATGATCAACACGTCACGAGCGCGAGCAGTTCTCAGTTGCACTTATCTAGCCAATATATTATATTATATTATAGTTAATGGGATGAATACCACTTGTATCACACACATGGGGAGAAAAAGTGACGAAAAAGAGGCGCTGAACATTTTTATTTAACAAAGTTGTTCACGAAAAACTGATTTCAATTTTTGAAAATATTTTTCTGTAGTTGGTTCTTGCAAGAACTTACGGTGTTAGCAATCTTATTGGCGATTTTTTTGTACGTGCACCGTGCTGCAGGGGAGGATCCAGGATTATTTGAAGGGGGGGTTTCAGGAATCACAGGCCTCGGATCTGAAGCAACCATCGTCCCTTTGCCCTTCAGCGGGGCGGCCCCCGAAAGAAATTGGCGTTTTGGAGGGCGAATGGTGCCATTTTGTACGAACTATAATTCAGCTAGTCAAAATTCTACCAGTAATTTTTTTCAGAAACTGAGGGGGGTGGGGGGTGGGGGGCAGGACACCCCCCCCCCCCCGGCAAATCCGCCACTGTGCTGCAAAGCATGCATATACAAAATTTTCAGTAGAAGTGCTAACGCATGAATTTCGTACTGTAATGGAGTAGCAAACATTTCTTTTACTATTTTAGTTGCTGGACTTTAAATCCAGAAATACACCATAGTTCTTTGACCCAAAACCCCAAATCAACACACTGTCATTTAAAGGACAAAACAAATTTGCAGTCCAGTATAACGTAATATAAAATAAATGCAAAATTGATAAACACTGAACCAAACTATTATATCCTCAAATAAGTTCAATGCATTTATTTAATTTAAAAACAGCTGTACAGAAACTAACAAATCATAAATAAAAGGGAAAAGAAACTTTTGCTTTAATTTACACTTAAGTAATACTTACATTTTAATCACAGATAAGAACACCCTTTATTTGGTCTTAGTCAGCTCACAGGATTTTTCTTTGTGTTAAACATTCCCATTATCTTTTACAAAAGCCTGTGGTGAACAATAGTGTGAATTAAGTTAAGTTGCCTAAGTAAAGTTGTTTCAGAGGGAATTTTTTTGTCTTCATCCCATGAACAATTTGTTCTACCAAGGTAATGTCTAAAGCCCAAATTTTAAGGTTTAAATATGTGAAATGTATATGGCTAGGTTTGGCTTTTATCTTTTCACAATTTCAATTCCAAACAAAGTCAGATTTTATGGAGAAACTCTTATATAATAATAGCTTTGGAATCTTATATCAAACATCTTTTAGGGAATCCTCTATAAAACATAGCATACTTCTCTTCAGGAGCATGCCTTTGACCTTGAAAATTACATACACTGAAATATATGTAAAACAGTTCACAATTCAATAATTGTGACCTCAGACTATTTTGCTCTTTGGTTGACTTCATGATTATCTTGACTATTCCAAAACCGGACATTAATATAATGCACAGCAGCATCATTTAGTTAATTAGAAATAATTTCACATCATGATTTAACAAGGATTGTATCTCCATCTTCTATTGAGAAATAAGAGAGTTCTTTCAAATCATCATCAAAATCATATTCTGTGCCTTGTGCCTGAAAAGAAGACAATATTTAAGTTTACAATACTTGAGAAACATAATATTTTTAAACTTCAAATACATACTTAAATGTTTTCCTTACTTCAATTCTCCCTCTCTAAATTAGCCATTTTTAACAGTTTCAACTTAAAAAAGTTAGAGAACTTACTTTTTGGCTTGTGTATACCAATTTAAAGTCTAAATCCCCTATCTTATACAACCGTTGTATAAGAGGCTTCAGTTTTTGAATTTTCATTGTTCCTGCAATAAAAAAATTCCAGCGCATTTGAATGTTAATCAATCTCATTTCCTTTTCAATCAATGGGAACATAAATAAAGTGCATGTGACACAATAAATAAAACCAAAATATAATCATGTGCACAGGTTAAAAGTATGGTAGTAAAAGTAAACTCGAGGCCCAGTCTAACAAATTTTTTTTCAGCAAAAATAGTTTAGAAGGTAATGTGCTGAACTTGGAATAGCTTACTTGGTAACCTCTTCTTGATAGTTGGTTTTTCTGGGAAGTTTGGATTTTTTATTTCAACAGCTGCAGCAGATGCTAAGGAAAAATAGGGTTCAGAATTTTCGAGTCCAACATTTTCCTTCTTTTACTAAGTGCTGCTCAACCTTTAACTACTGACTTGTAACCACTCACACTTATTTCTTTAAAATCATAGTTTCAGCTACAAAAGAAATATATTTTATGCAGGACATCTAACTTTGATTTGATAACTTTGATAAGGATACATAGTAGGTCATGTTTCAATGCACCCATATTTTGCTTTTGCATTTCAGAATCTTCTGGGGGACCATATTCTGAAAAAAAAAATTTTAACGGGAATTATCCCATAGAGCCCCATGTCTCATGACTAAGCATAAAATCAAGCAAGATTCTTAATGATAATTTAAAGTTCTTGGATTACGTTCTACAGCATAACACTAAAAATCCACAATGTTTTTGGTGTCCCTTTTGTACAATGTATAAAGTTTCAGCTTTATTGCTAAATGGTTAACCCCAACTCACACTATTTACACTGTTTTTACTATTTTGATGTCACACAATGCAGGCAGCATTATTAGGATAGCTTAGATGATTTCCATTGTATGTGCAAATAACTTTCGCAACTCATTAAAGGTAGCAATAATTTATAATTAGTAATATATTTTGTCAAATATTAAAACATTCATGTCTGTGAAGTGATTTCATTTTTCATTTTATATCACAAACCTGATAAAAAATAAAAAGCATATACTATTAAAAGCCTTTCTTAATCTCTGCAGTAAAGAACCCCCTGACAAATTAATAATGTCAAGCTTATTCCAGATTCTTACTGGCAACAAATTCCTGGTATCTTGGGTGTTTACAGAGGAATTCCTGGTGAGGTTTATTTTTTTCAGGATCTTGATGTCCACCCGCCTGGCGCCACTCCTGACCATGAATCTTAAGATAATCTATCTCAGCACCCCGCCTCTCACCTTCCTCTACCTAATATTTGGTAAAAATGATATGTCACCCATTATCTATTCAATTAAATGATTTTACAGCTTGGCAAAGATTTTTTTTTTTAATGCGTTTCAGCTGCAGATATAACTAAGGGTATTAAAATGCTAAATTATAAGACATAACAAATGAAAACATTTCTTTATAATGTAATTATCATTTTCAAAATATTTTCCAAGTTAATTTATTTAAAAAAAATGTATGAATTAATGTTTTTATTATCTCAACCAAATATGAGAATTTTCATATGTAGAATGTGGTAACAACACAAAATAAAATACTACTTACTGCAGTTCTATTACACATTTTTAATCCCTTTATTCTAGCAACCATGTTTTCCCTAACTTGTTCTATAGTGCCAGTCTCAGTTATTGGATTTCTCTTGATAAGAATGTCCTCCAATACTGATAGTTTATTCAACTCATTGAAGGAAGACCACTGAAACAAACATTTTAAAATATTTAATAAAAACAAGATTAGTTCCTTGGTTAGATGCAAATGATCTTAAAAAGCCAAAACTTGATAATTACCTGAAGATCATTCAGAAACAAAATCTAGTAAGAAGAGAAAACAGATTTCTATAATTAATTATAATGAGAGAAAAAGGTCTTAATACATTAACACAGAACATTTAATGAGATAAAAAATAATTTAAATAGACTAAAACAAGATGAGACATGAAAAGGTGTCTTGGCATCTGTAATCTGTTGTGATCTGTAATAAACTTATACTTGACTGTATGTGAGGAATAAATAGTAAAATCTTAACCTCTTGTATCCTGTTATCATTCAAAGACAAACATTTCAGTGCTGGAAAATAGTGAGTGGTTTCTCCAGGCTGAACATCATTGAAAAAAATATTCACCAGTCCAGTTTTATTGAGATGCAGTGTTTCTAACCTACAATGTAAAAAATCATGGAAATATAAATACAGTACAAATGAAAGAAATTAATTAAATTGTTACCTGACAAAATCATACTTAAACAATCATTATGTGACACTGACATTTTTAGGATTTTTTATTTTACGAAAAATGCTCATAAGGAACTTTCTATAATACCTAACCTTTTCAATGTTCCCAGCTGCAACACACTGCCCCAGCCATCCAACTGGTTTCCCTCTAAATCTATAAGTGTTAAGTTATGTAGCTGTGGTGGTGGTAGCTCAGAGATGGTACTGATGTTGTTATAGCAAATCAAAATTTCTTGGATATCTGGCCACATTTTGGAAAAGTCCAGAACCTTTCATGTGAAATGAAAATTAAACAAAAAATATCTATATAATTACATAAAATTTTACAGTGACATAAGTAACATATTGTAGGGACTCAAAATCTAAACAATAACATAATACTCATATTTTTCTCATTTTCCAATATCTTTTTTTAATTATTTGTATAAATATGCTACAATTTGTATGTAGAATGTATTAATTATGAAAGAATACTCACCTGTCTCCAACATAACTGCATCCTGTTCAATATAATGGTTTTCAAGCACAAAAATGCTGAACACAAACCAGGTGGATTGTCTGGAAATCTTAGTTGATTTTCACTGTAAAAAGGAATCATTCATTAATTTTTAGTAAGTATTGCCTTGATGAAGAAGAGATCCAAGACACTTTATATTATCACCCTGCATAAAATTCTCATTTTCCTTATCACTTTCAAATGCTTTGAAAAATCAAAATGTTAATGAATAAAATAACTCATTAAACTTGTTAACAAATGAAATTCTAACAACAAAGGTTTTTAAACCAACCTTAAATTCAATATCTCAAGTTTCTTTAACTGAACTGCTATTTTTGCAACTTCCTCCCATGATGGGATCAAATTTTGGGATATGTCTAATTCTTCAACATTTGGGCAAGTATTTTCTAATGCTGATTCAGGTCCTGCACCAGAGATCTTCATATCCTTTAGAAGAAGGGACTTCAGTTGGTCAAATTGACTGAAATGATAAATCTGCATTTCAAAAAGATGAAATTATTAATATTAGATTTACATTCAAATAATTCTATTCTAAATAAATGCCAAATTTCCTCTTTCAACACTTTACATTTATATTTTTAAAGCAACATCACCACCCAGTGCTAACAGCAGCTGCTTAAACAATATCAAGTTATACTTTTTGGCATATTCAATTACTATTGGTCTTATTTCTGTAAAGATCCCAGTTAAATATGCCTTATTCTCACCTCTGCTGAATATTGACCTTCCTTGCTCCCACCACTTCCACCACCGTTCGCTTTCCTTTCCCCTGCACATACATCTCCTCTAGGATAACCCCTGCATGTTCATCCTCCACCATCCCATACCTCTCAGACAGAGCCGCATACATACTTATACCAAAGTCTGCTTTCTTAGGCCTGAGAAAAGACCCAGAAGTTGGATATCTGCAAATAAAGGATGGGTTTGGTTTCAAATATGTTTTTTCTCTTCAAGGTGTATACAGTGAATCACACTGTTGCTGAGTTGGTTGTAATTTAATGACTGCAAAGAGTTACATCTATGTCAGACTCATAAAACTAAGTATACTTTTTTTACACCTTTTATCATTTACTTTTTTTGTCACTAAATTCGAATCTATACAGGAGCTCCATTCATAACCAATATCAGATCTACGTTGTGATTACCGTTTTGGCAACCAAGTAGCATTCATTTCTGATGCATGGAAACAACTGATACACCAATTTCAACTTGTCGATCACAAAAAAATATTTAGATATCATACCTGGCTGTGAAATATCTCCTCCCTTCATGGGAACCATCATGTTTCCCTCTGGTTGCATCATCCCAATCTACACCCAACCAGACACCTGTAAAACAATTCATGCTTAGTATTGTTTTTGCCTTTTTCATTTAAATTTCTTGTTCAACTTTATTGCTATATACATTAACAAACTGATGATGAAACATTTGACTTTAATCTCCATCAATTATAATTTGTTTATAAAATGGAAAAGATCACACCAATCTGTTCGAATTAGTGCATATTTACTGTTAGCCTTTAAAACAAAAATCTAAACAGAGTGTTAAGTCCATCAAATCTTATAAAATTAGCCTTTAGGTCTCTGTGGTATTACTGTACAACCATGTCATGATCGAGTTTACCTTTGGTTGGTGGGACTTCACCAATATACATAACAGTACCAAAGTACCCATCACTGTAAAACCTGCTCCCAACTGTCACATTATCCAGGCTGGGCTCCACTTCTCCCATACTGTTTGTTCACTGTAGACCTTGAGTATTAGAATGAAACGTAGATCAAGCTTTAGTTTTAATGAAAAATATTACTCTTATCAGTTATGATGTATTTTTTTTCTTTTTTGTCTCTGACTCTTACATATATTTACGCTTCATACTGTTTACACCTTTTGAGCAACAATTGCCAGACAAATTCTGGATATCCTCCCAGACCACCTCAAACAATCAGAGCTAGCTTTCTGACTAGGATGAACACAAAATATCAACAGAATAATATTCAAAAGCAAGGTTGAGAATGGCACCTATAAAGCTGTGTCCTGGTCACCATACAGCCAAGCCTACTATTACTAGTAAGTTAAGAGTGGATGAAATGTTCCCAAACTGATTCAATCTCTGTATGCAAAATTAAACATAACAAAGCATAATATAAGTGAGTTCAAATGAACAATGCTACTAATCAATTGTATTTACATATATGTAGATGGAAAATATTTTAGTCATAACTCATATCACATAAAAACAAAATTTGTATCACTGCTTGTACACAACAATCAACATCAATTGTAAATTGTGACAAGGAAGGAGTAACAACTGTTGTAACTCCTTGGTATATTCCTTAAAATAAGCTAGTCTTTTCATTTCTCTTACCGCAAACTACCCAGATCCAACACACCAAACAAAAGCACGCTGCGTCAATGTATTCTGGGCAACTCTCCGAGTGAGCTCCTTCACTTCACTGCTTCAGTGTTGTCAAGTAACTTGTATCGCCTGCTAATGTTAGAAATGCTACAGCTGTGTGCTACACTATCGCCTTTTGGTACTTTTCAACATGACTCATGGTGCAAATTTAAACCTGATGCAGTCAACTGAACTAGTTTAAGCCAAACATAGGTATCGATCGAAATTTTATCAAAATATGAATTATCTTATGTTGCTACTAATAAATTGGTGAAGAAAAATTGCTACAGCACAAATCCACATAAGTTTTTTGAACAGGTGATTGTGAAGCTCTGAGTGCGCACTCGTTTACTGCGCAGAAAATTACGACAAAAACTTCCGGCTGCAAAATATTTACGCTGTCGCACGTTAGGTGTTCACTTGCTCAGTTTTGGAGTTTAAAACACATAAAATAACCTCTATTATAACCCATCATAATGCAAAAACCCTGCTCAAAATCGGTTAAGTAATTTCTAACAATTTTATAAAATTCTGGCTTGAGCAGGTACGTCTCTCGACTGCAGCTAGCCATCTCTGGTGGGACGATGGCAGACGAGGTTGGTAGTATATTCTTGCAATTCTTGATTATTTTCTGGTAGTTGAACTTAAAAGTGGTTTCAAAACGTAGAGTTTCTATTTAATATTTTGATAGCATTCAGTAAAACTGCCTCTTATATGCTGTACTGGATTAAGAACCAAATCACGCAGAGTTGCAAAATGAACTAAATTCTTTTCTCTAGCAATTTAAAATACACTTTAGCCTGTAGTAGATAAAATATAATATTACTGTTAGTTTTATTAATTTTTTTCAGGAGCCTGAGGTTTTTGAGATTACAGATTTTACAACAGCATCTGAATGGGAGAGGTGAATAGAAAAATTACACTAATGAATCGATATTTTTTCCTTCAATTTTCAATTTACTGTATGTGTAATTTAGCAAACGTCACCCTAACAAAAATTCATAAGTGATGACATGAAATATCTGTAATAAAGGATGTATTTTACTGTATTTTTACAGCTCGATATTTTCATCCTTCAGGTTTATTGCAAGAATAGAAGAACTTATTCATGAATGGAAGTTAACAAGTCCAGTTTCACTCTCTCCTTTAAAGAAGGTCAGTCTTTTACCCATTCAAAAGATTTATAGAAAATGCAATGTACTTGCAGAGGTACTCATACACAGTCTTTGCCCTACTTATAACCAAATCCATGTATATACTACAAATTAAGTTTCAAATTACCGAAATCAACTTTATTATATATATCATACATTATATCTTGGCTGAATATCAACAGGTGTTCTTTATAATGCCTTAACAACTTCTAGATATTGAATTTGAAAAGACAATAATTGAAAGAAAAGTCGATAAAAATATACCATCAAGGTACACATACAAGAAGTAGGTTGTTGCATAACTGTGAGAGGCTGCCAATATCCACATATCTATTTCCGATTCCAAAGTAGCACAGAAGATCATTTCTGTATTATGGCAAGCATTAAATAAATTTAGATTCATTGCTTATAGATATTTAAGGTATGAAAAATTAACATCGGAAAACATTTATCATGCTAAGACAGTCCATTACCACAAGTAATTGGACTCAAATATCCTGGAATGTCCCTTTTGATGTTTATCTCCATTACAAGACTTTTATGGCTATGTATTACCATATGTTTATTATATTGAATTAATTATTAAATTAATAAAAAATTTATGCAAATAAAAAGCTACAGAATTTTAAAAATGAAGTTGAATTGAATCCAAATGAAAATATGAATTTGTGCAGGGCTTGCTAAAACTTCATGGAAAATGCCTACATTTCCTAATCTCAATAACATCTTATTTCAAATCTTGTATTATTTTTTTCACTTGTAGGGAGAGTACAGCAGCGGCACTTGGGAAGATACAACAGATACATTGAAATTTGCAGATTTTCCATTTACTATAGTGAGGCACTGTCTCAAACAGGCACCTAATGGCCCAGATACAGAGGAAGGTGCCACAGCTATGGTGGAGGGGGATGAAAGTAAGTATGTTGTAGAATGAAAGTAACTTTAGGAGAGGAGGATGAAAGAAAGTATGATGGAGTATGAAAACATTTGTGGCCAAAGAAGGTAAAGGCACAAAAGCATATATAATTAAGGCAGGCCAGTGGATTTTAAGATAAAATTAAGAGGCAATTTTAAGATAAAATAAGAAGTAAGTCAGGATTGTGAATTCATAATACCTGCATAAATGGACTGTTCTGGAATGGGCCCAGGTTGATCATTTAGTTAATGTAAACAGGGTGTTAGTGCGTGCACGCGCGCGCGCACACACACACACACACACACACACACACAACTTGTGGCTTGTATTTTTGCGTTTAATGTATATGAGGATGATATTATTTTTGATATCCTATGTTTTGTTATTGTAGATGCAATACCTCAGCCCCTGCAGGATATACTTAGCATGGAGAATGATTTCCCAAGTAGAGCACATTGCCTGAGTAGATGGTACGTGTACTGTACATGCAGCAATGTGCCTGTGAATAGATTGATGTTCATGTCAACCCTATTTGTGTTTATCTTGTAATTCCCCAATACAGCCAAGGGATTAAGTATATTCAATTTGGCATCATTCTCTTGTATGTCTTATATTTTCATAAGTTAATAAAATGTAACAGCTACATTGTATGAAATTACTTTTTGGGAATGTGAAAATGCATACAGAAGTGGGTGAAAGGGCTAAAGGTAAGTCTCTGATCACAAGATCAATGCGCAAGGTGTGCAGACAGGCTCCAAATGCAGTTTCTTATCATTTTTACCGGCTGTCAAAGTATTAATATTCTTTGGTGGATAAATGTCTCACTTTATGACACACTGATTCTAGAAGTGACACTTACTATTAGATGCTCAGTTGATACATAATGAATTGTATTTTCTAGGTATGGCATACGTGACTTTGTGGTTATTTCTCCTGGGGCTACTTCTGAAGCCGTTACAAGTGAAACTAGGATCAATATTCTCATGAGCTCTATTGCTATTGCTGTGAATAACACTGGATGGTAAGTTTTATTTATTTGTTTATGTGCTTAGTTGACTTTTAAACTTTTATAACTCAGTAAATTGATGATTTTTATAAGACCAAGAATTTTATTTTTATCATGATGTTTATCAGATTTTATGCTTTAGATCAATATGCCACTTGCAAATTAATTTTTTAAAACCATTTTCAATTGAAGCCAGGTGCCTGTATTTATCCAAGGTCATCAGAAGTGGAGGCGTCTATACTATGGGCTGTGTGAGTTCCCAGGAGTACGGACCAGTTTTGACATGGTTCACCTGAAGAGGATCCCACCACAGTACAATCACCTTTCAGGACTGTTAGATGTTTTCAAGGGAAAACTGGTGAGAATGGGGATTTATTTCTGCATTCACAATGGTGCTAACTTAAACCAGAAAAACTGAGTAGCATCAAAATTGACTGAAAGCACAATGCCGATGATACCCAGTTGTACACATCTTGTAACATCCATGATCCAGCATTGTCTGTGAACACAATTGTTGATTGCATATCAGACCTCAGAGGTTGGCTCATTTCAAACAAATTGAAGATAAATGATGGAAAAACAGAATTTTTAGTCATTACTCAACCCCACAACAAGGGCCTTGCTCATAACTTGCAACTTAAAATTGGAGCTAGTATGGCATTTTCCTCCCCCCATGTAAAAAATTTAGGAGTATACTTTGATTCTACACTTTCAATGGACAAACAGATCTCCAACATCACAAGGTCTTGTTTATTCAACATTCGGAATATTGGCAACATAAGGAAACATCTGAATCAATCTGCTGCTGCTACTGTTATACACTCATTGGTAACTTCCAGGCTAGACTATTGCAATTCTATATTATATGGATGTCCAGATGATAAGATCAAAAGATTACAACGCATCCAGAATATATCAGCACGGCTTTTAATGCTACAGCCTAGGGATTGCCATATCACTCCAATTTTAAAGCATCTGCACTGGTTACCAGTTAGGGCCAGAATTTTATTTAAGGTTTTAGTTTTTACACATGCTGCTTTTTATAATCTAGCTCCACCATATATAACTGATTTAGTCAAACATTATAGCCCTCAAAGATCCCTGAGGTCTGGTGACAAACTTTTACTGAAAGTTCCAAAATCAAGGTTAAAATCATATGGTGACATATCATTTTGTGTAGCTGCACCAGTAGAGTGGAATAAGTTGCCAATTTTTATTAGACAAATAGAATCACAAGAATCTTTTAAAAAGGAATTAAAAACTCATATTTTTAAGACATTTTATTCATGAATCTTAAATTTTATAATTTTAAAGAAACCTTGGATTTTTTACTTTTAATTACTGTTTATTACAATTAAGTTAGTTTAGCTCTTATTTATATAAAATATCTCTTAACCATTTTTATCTATAAACTTCTTTGTATTTTATGTTGTACAGTCTATTGAACATTTTATGGATTTTAGACTTGAAATAAATATATTATTATTATTATTATTATAATGCAGGCTTTATCTAGTGACATCAATAAAGCCAGCCTAAGTCGAGTATTACTTTGATTTTGAACATGCCTAATTTCAGGATCAGTTAAAACTAATGCCATTACTATACCTTTTAGGCATCCCCCATATCCCCTCCTCCTCCAGTCACTGTGTCAGTGAGGTTTACCTATGTATTACAAGACTGGACACAGTATGCTTGGCCACAGGCACCTCCTGGTAATTATGTTATTTTTGTCGTAGGATTTGCCATTTGCTGTAGTAAATGTTTATCATACTTTTTATCAGGGTAACTGTATATATATAGTATACTTCTTATAAGTGAAAAAGAATAGGCTCTATTGTTGTGTGGACCTGATATTGTTTTATTTAGTGATGAAAATTTGATATGTGGCAGTGCAAACTTGATTGTTTAGAACAGGAAATTCATGTTCTTATGTTTTTGATAGTCATATTTGTGCTACATATTTTATTTCAGACATTGAATCTGTCACAGAAGATGAGATTGGGTGTACAGATTTTGAGACATTGCCATTTGGAGCTTGTGAGGACCCAGTCAGGTATCTTTCATTTAGAAATTGGACAAAAAAAAATGGAGTTTACTTTTTCCAAAGTATTGTTGTGAAATTTTATTTATAATCAGTTTGTAGAATAGCATCATTTCCATTACCTTGTTGGAAATTCAATTAAATCAGTGCACTCTTTTCACTAACCAAGACTTATCCTTTCAGATTAAGAAATGTTTTTCATTGCATT